TTCCAGCTAAATAGTGAGTCTAAATGTATTCCCAAGAACTTTACTGTTTCAACTACTTTTACGGGTATTCCATTTAGGTGTGTGCTGAGAGTTTGTTTATTTTTAGCAGTTGTTTTGAACAACATAATATTAGTTTTATTTGTGTTTAGTACCAGTTTATTTGCTACAAACCAGGTATTGAAGGCTGCCATTACTGCATTTACTTTGATATTCAGATCATTGATATCTGCACCAGCAATTACTGCATTTGTATCGTCCGCAAATACAACCATTCCAATATCAGAAAACAATTTCAGCATGAAGTTAATTAAATCATTTAAAAAAATAATAAAAAATATAGGGCCCAGTACTGAACCTTGAGGCACACCTCTTGTTACAGTTACTAATGATGATTTATATACCTTCCTCGTGCCGTCTTCATCCATATCGACAATTTCTACGAACTGTTTTCTGTTTATTAAATAGGTTTTTAGTAGAGAAAGAGCTTTATCTGTAACACCGTAGTGGCTAAGTTTACTTATCAGAATCTGGTGCTCGATTGTATCGAAGGCTGAGCTCAAGTCCAAAAATACTCCAGCAACTTTTAATTTATTATTTAATTGCCTTGTTACATCATTAACCATGGCATCAATTGCATTTGGTGTTCCTACTCCTTTTTGATATCCAAACTGTCGTGCGTTTAAAATTAAATTTGTATTAAAATAGGACATCAATTGTATCTTAATAGCTTTTTCCAATATTTTAGATAACACTGGAGAAAGAGCAATTGGTCTATAATTATTAATATTTATTTTTGACATTTTCTTATGTATGGGAATTATTTTTGAAATTTTTAATTGTTCTGGGAAAACTCCCTGATCAATACATATATTAAAGAAATACGACAATGGGTTCGCTAATATATCTATATTTTCTTTAATTATATTTAAGGGCATATCATCATAACCAGTTGACTTTTTGTTCTCCATTCTCTTTACTATCGAAATTATTTCTGATGCAGTTGTTAATCGAAATATCATTTTAATATCATGCTTTGTAACATTATTATATAATAGTTTCATTGCATCTTCAGTATTTGTAGTGTCTTTTGTACTATAATCAAATTTTTTTGAAAACATTTCCGCAATTTCTTTTGTATCTGAGATGGTCGTATTTTTTGATATTATTATAAGCTTCTCATGTCTACTAAGTGCTTTATTACTTTTATATCTATTTACAACTTTCCAGATTTCTTTATTTGAGTTACTACATTTCTTTATCTCGTTCTGTACTGTTAATGTTTTTGCTTTCCTTATTACCCTCCTATAAATATTTATGTATTTCTTTCGGTAGCTGTATATGCTTTCGTCATTTTGATTTTTATCCAGTGTGCAAAGAACTCGTTTCATTTTGCTAGATACTTTTATTCCCTTTGACACCCATTTCAATTTTCCAGTTTTGCAAGTATTTATTTTAATTGTTTTTAACCTAAAATTTTTCCTAAATATTCCAAAGAACTTTGTCAGAAAGTTATTTATACCTAATTCAAGCCATTTTACTTTTTTTATGCTTTGCCTAAATTTTGCATTGTTGTATGTATTAAAAATCCTTCTTTTAATGTATACATAGTTTTGCTTACATTTCCTCTCATGTATATTTTCCGCTAGAACTTGAGTCAATATAGCAGCGTGCCCATCTGAAAGACCATTATTATCAACTGTGGTGTTGATAAATGAGTTGTCAGGAATATTTGTCAATATATTATCAATGCAAGAGTAGGAGTCATTTCTTATAAAGGTGATGTCGTTAACAAGATACCGAAAATTATAACATTTTATGAGGTTTAAAAAGTCACTTTTCATTTTATTTTCTTTTAAAAAGTCTATATTGAAGTCACCACATATTATACATTTTTTATCAAAGTACTGTTGTAAAAATATTTCAAATTTTTCCATAAAAATCTCAATGTTAGAACCATTTTGATAACAACAAAAATATTTAATTCCAGTGTTTGAATCCTGCACTCCACATATTTCAAATTGCTGATCCATACCAAATCGTTTACATTCTGTGATATCATTTGCTTGTCTGTCCTTATTAACTAATATTAAAGCACCTCCTCTCTTTTTACTAATTCTAAAATAGCATGATACAATGTCATAATTCATAAAACTTATTGATGTAACAGATTCCGTGTTTAAGAAGTGTTCTGTAATGCAAACAAAGTCAGGTGGACAAGGTAACATTTCGAAATATAATTGCAGCTGATCAAATTTTTTCCTAAGATATTCTGATAAAATATGTTTATTGGTATGCATGTAGATGAAGTACTTTTATTCCACTTAGGGACGAAAAAAAGTATTTGGTTCTGCATCTTGATTTTCTACTTCTACCTGTGTGGCCTGGACTATATTTCTAATTTCTGTTTGTGTTGCCTTAGATGTGTATGATTTTAATTTATAGTCAATTTTTAAAATATCTCTAAGTAATCTTTGACTAATATGAGTTGTATAGAACTTTTTAAATGGTACACGTCTATAGAAATCCATATCTACAAAAGTTACGTTTTTAAATTGGTTACAAGTGACTTTTAGCTTATTATTTAACTTAAGTTCATTCAATACACTGTTTTGAGGAACTTCCCCTACTAGTATATTCACTTTACATTTTAGATTATTCAGAAAACAATACAAATGGGATATACATTCATATGGATTCCTGTCATTAATGCCACCTAACAATATAATGTAGTCATTCTCAGTTAATGAATTTTGTAACAGGTCACAGTGATCAATGATTTTAGATAAACGCGCACCTGGTTTAAAAAAGCTATAAACTTTATATTGTGATCCCAGTAATTCCTGCATTTTCTTCTGAAGTCCTCTTCCCTGCTCATCTGCCATAATAATTACTTTCTTCTCCTGATGTGATTTATTTTCTAATATTTGTTTTTCAGTATTTACCGAAGAAGTAACAGAACACGGACTGCCCTGTTGTAGTATGTCATTTTGTTTGCTTACAGTGTTTGGTGACGACTTCAACATATCACTACAATATTCAAAGTTATTATTTCTTAACTGTGGAGAAAGACATTCCGTGTGCGACACTTTTCTTGGTCCCACATATAGCTTTCTGTTTATGTTCAATGTGTATCGACTGGCTTCTAGCATACTACATCCTGTAATATTTAATTTATTTGAAATTTTTTTATTCGAAATTGGTGTACTTGTCCCAGATTCTATCTTCTTATATATTTTGTTTATTTTGTCCTTTGACTGTAACTGTAATTTTAGTTGCCTGTTCTCTAAAAGTAAATTTTCTACTTCATTGTTGGCCGATTGAAGTTCAATATTAAGGGTTTCTATCTGTTTTTTATATTCATTTATTTCTTCATTATCCTCTAATGATGCATTTGGAGCACTCCTTATTGTAGCATTCAATTGACTACAGCTTGATAAATCCAAATACGATAGCGAAGTGTTTCGCCGTCATCGTAATGTAACAAATTCCTCGTCCATATTTATCTTCCAGTTCCACTACCCTCAATCACCTATTTGTATTAAGTGATTTTATGTACCTATATGAAATTATGGACCACTATCCAAATAATTTAATATTTTCAATTCTAACATATCCAAATCTTGTCTGATATACTTATTATTTATTACAAAATCTATGTGCCGCTGTCTGGGTTCGAAGGCACGACCTCTCGGATCAAAAGCAGATGCCTACCAAACTAGGCCAATGTTATTGATAATCAACTTTTCAAAATTTTGTATCAATATCGGAATACGAGAATGCTTTGCCGTTACAATCTTTCTTTTGAATGCAATGTCCAAAAGCTACTAAATTTATTATACCCTGCACATTTATAAAAATGAAATATACAGATAAGTCACTAATTAATCACTTTCATTTCACAATTAGAGTGTTTTATTGTAAGTTGCTATTTATAATCACTTAAATGTAAAAAATATTGCATTAAAATGTCACTTCAGTTTGTTTCATAATTGTCACTTAGTTCCACTTTGATCACTTATTTATTCATTGTTTCTATATAGTTTGATGTGCGAATAGTATCACTTGGTTTTTATAACATAAGTAACTAAATTAACTTGTAGTTTGTGCGTTATTCATCCGTTTTATATTTTTAAGAATTAATTTGACTGAGAGCTATGTCTACACGTTGAAGCGCCACCTGGCTGTTGTAATACGTAAGTGACATAATATAAAACTACGGAACTCTAGTAACGAATGTCCGATACGTTATTAACAATTTTTTTTATAATGTGCTTTTATATTGGTGAGAATAAGCATAATTTTCTGCTATTTAATCTCAATGTTTACTCATTTGGTTTAGTTTCGTGTCACTATATAAATTGATATTGTTGGTACACATACACTAGATCGACGGACATCATGTATCGTGTAATTGCTTTCGTATTATTCGCAGTGGCTGTAACATTGGTAAATAATATAATATCATGTTTTGTGATAGGGTTACTCTTGACAATATTTATCCTTAATAATGCTTTAACCGGGAGCAAGTTCAAGTTACGTAATAATTAAAGTATTTTACATGACTTTTAATTTATTTAGGACTAGTTTATATTAATATAATTGCAATAAAACAAATAATAAAATCCTTTTAATAAAATAAAGTTAAAGAATATTTTTTGGTAACAATTTTTCTTTAACGTAATCCTTTAATTATATACTTATTTTAATCTTTTGTATTTAATGTATATTATTTCTATTGTTAATCGGGTCTTAAAACGAACAATTTAATCCTAAATAAAGATATACCTGGTTAGGTATATCTTTATTTAGGATTTAGGATACCACTCCGCTCGTGACCATGGCTAGTACAATCTAGTCGAAACGTCGATGGAGGTAAATTTATTTACCTTTATTTACCATAAAATTATTTGTGGTAAGACTCGGTTAATTACATTAATAATTTTGATTATGTAAGTATCTAAATATATGTATTAATAGATTTTATTTTATTTTATCAACAGGCTGCTAGCAATGAAGAACAGACAAAATGCTCAAGAGTTTTGATGCACCCTGTAAGTACTCTAAAAAATCTTACTGATTTCAATTAAGGTACAAATTGTTATCTGGTTTTAATAAAACCAAAGCTTAATAAGTTAAATTAGTAATATTGTAGGCACTGGTCTGTACTGATTTTACTTATTATTGATGGCCTCGATGATCTAGCGATTTTAGCACACCGCTTTACTTCCGATTGTCGCGGATTCGATTCCTCGAAAATCTCAACACTAGCGCTGCTTATAATGGGACTAGGTGCTGTGTAAATTGTTAATTTATTTAATATTTTGACCCTAATCAATTAGTGCTAGTTGGTAGTTATTATTCAGACATTTCAACTTAATAATGTAAAGAATTATTTAAAAGACCAATATGCAAGTTTTTTGCTTTTTCTTCTTTTTGTGATAAGGTAGCTTTCGGAATGAGCGATACAAAGTCACACTTATTTATTTCAATGTATCGCTTCAGTGCTTAAATTTAAGTTTATTTGAACAACTAATTTTCTATTACTTATAAGTCAATATTTAATATAAACAATTACAAAAAACAATCATTGTAATCTAACGCGGCACATCGAGGCACCGTTGCCTCTTTGAATGGCCATACTTAGCCTTTGGGCAAAATAGCTACCAGCTCTCGGGTCACAAGTAACCTCGATGAGCCGCGCTGAAATATATGTTAAAAACAATTTGGCTTCCGGGCTCCATGGGCCCAACGTCAATTTTCTATTGTTATTCTATAAAATAAGATTGATTTTATAAAGTTCTTTATGTATACCAAAATTTAATATATTTTTTACTTAAATGTATATTCAGTTTTGCCAAATTTTGTAATTTATATATAGTTTTAATATTTGTTAAGCATATTTACTACTAATATTAATATGTTTCAGGCCGTGAAATATTGTTGCAAAAAGGGTATTCATCATCATTTTAAATCTTCGATGGCCATACATCGACGAACTCACAACGATGAGTTGAATTTGAAAGAATGTTTCCACCACAAGAAATCGGATCCCGTAAGTTTTACTTGTTTCTTTAAACTTTCGCTAAAAAAGGGTATATTACCAAAACTACAATAAGCAGTTAAGTCGATGTAAAATGCTGAAATGCAATGACTTCGTTGTATTTTAAACTTCAAATTATTTAATTTTTGGGTATTGTAAATATGAAAATAATAAATTATTAAAACGTAATTAAGTTTGTCAAACATATTCATTATTATTTAGTTAATATATTATAGTTAGAGGGCCTGGGCATGGGCCTGGTATAGTCATATCAGTTGACTAGTACCCATAACACCACCTCTACTTAGCTTGGGACTAAATTAAACTATGTGGTTTTTTCTGGGTTACATTATTAATTATTATTAGTATGTCATTACGAGGGACAACGTTATAATATAATAAAAATAGTAAACCTAAACCCTTAAGTTTAGATTTACAATTTGGCTGTCTATTTTGTATGTTTATTACGAAATGACATTTTCTGTTGCCAGATTATCATGATTTTTACGACTAAAGTCATGCCTTTTATTTATTCCCATTATATGATGCCATACCAAAAACTTGAATCTTTATTTATAAAGATATTATTGATTATATAAACCTCAAATTATTGTTTTTCAATATACCTAGGTTGACTTGGTTCTACATTCTTTTTTTAGTGTGAAAAAGAACTATGTATTGCAAATAAGAAAGGCTTCGCTTCGGCTGATGGAGAAATAGATAGGGATGCTTTAGCTATGGTCATTGAAAATGAATTTAATGAAAATAGTGAGCTGAAGGAAGCGATTGAAGAGAACTGCGTGGGAGAAGATTTGTCCAAGTTCGGTCCTGAAGATTTGTGCGATGTGTTGAAATTGAGGCTATGTATCGAGATACAGCATCTTAAAGTGAGTACCTATACCAGAAAATAGACGAATTTATATTTATAGTTACATAATATTTTAAAATTATTTAAGAAACTATAGTATTATAATGTTGATCTGTCATTAACCATTTCCGTCAAAAACATTACATTTTGAAACATGTATGACTCCGAAATATACTGATAATCTTTAATCTCAATCCAACTACTACAAAATCACATAATTATAATCAGTATTGAAAATAATAGCAAGCAAAATGCCCGTATCTTACAGGCAATAGTGTATGTATAATAGTCTGGAGGTAATTTTCGAGTTTTTATTTTCTCAAAGAGTTCTAGAAAACATACTTATTTCTTAACAAAATTGTAAAATTTAATCAGTTGGTAATTGCGAACAATGTGATTTTAGAATCTTTGTCTTTCTGAATCTCCTTCATAAAATATTATACCGATTACAGTTTTTACGATCTGGATGGCTGTTGAATTCTAACTCTGAGACCTAATTACTGACATTAATTTAACTTTTAATGAGAATCTATTTTTCACAGTCCAATTGCAGCCAGTTTCCAACTTTTTGTCTAATTTCTAACAAATTTATTATATATTAATGTTATAGAAATTGTAGATAAATTTCGGAGAATTAAGTAAAATTTATTAGTATATCTCCATGATGATAACATTGGCAGGGAGTTGATAGGAATTGTTTTTAATCTATTTCTTATTATAAGTTATATTTATGTCTTGACTTATTATGTAAAAAAAGTTTTCATTTAACTATTGTTTACCACCTACACCCAAATCATTAAAACTAGGAAGTACATATTTTTGCATAGGTTCCGTTTAGTATGCAGACATAGATTAATTTATAGGAACATGTTATTTTAATAATTTATTATAATATAATATTGATATTTACAGGCTTGCGTTGAGTGGGACGATGAGGTACCATGCGAAGGAACGAAGAAATTAGTAGAAGATTGCATGCAACTGTCAGCCTAATGCAAATATGAAATAAATACAATTACTGAAGACGGCAATAAATTAAAATGTTATGGAATTGGTTTATATTTAAATTAAACAAAAGCAACATTATCTTTGGTTTTTAATTAATTTATAAATATAACAAAAAATAACAATTTAATATGGTATCAGGGAAGGAAGAAAATGATAAATTATGAATGTCATTTCTAATTTAATCTAATTTTTTTATATACCTTTGGGCATGTAATCATCTCTCTGATTTAATTAATTACGAGATTATAATGATTGATTATTGCATTGGGCGCCGTAAATTATTGATGCTTTCCGGTAATTGGAAAGTTTAGATACAAACTTTCCAATTACCGGAAAACAAAAAAATGAAGCTCGGTAACAATCAATGTCGAAAGGATTTTTGAAAGAAATTTTGAAGGAAGCCGAATGAGGATTACATACTGACACTCAGTCTATTTATACTGTTATTTCATAAAGATATTTATGAAATAAGAGTATAAATAGAAATAATCATTATTCAAATAAACTCATTACAAGCACTTTTGAATAACCTTTTTTTTTATTCTATCACTCATTAGGAAAATAGACTTTGATGTTGTTCTTTTGAATAAAAGTTATTTTAAATAAATAAAAACATAGTAATAAGTAGGAGGCATGCCATAATCAACATAGAAACCGCTGCGCACTCATTCTTTGTGCAATCAGTTAATATTATCAGCACTATAAATTTTAAGTATTTTATATGAAATTTGAATCTTTTTTCAGGCAGATTTAGAACAGACTCTGGCATTTTCCATAAAAAAGCGGTTACGGCGTTATCCTAATTTATGGATCATATTATTTAATTATTGTGATTGTTTGGAAGTTATTTAATCGAATTACACGAGTCTTCAAAGTAATATATTCAGCTACACCTTCACCAGGATACAAAGGTCTGAGTGAGTGACGTTTTTCAATAATTTATAGCGTAACATTACACGCCAAGTCGCTTTCGGCTTGTCACACCTCAAATGAGGAAAGTTTACCACTTTCATTTTATGTAATTCAACTGAGCTACTGTTTTCTATAATTTTGATTTTAGGAACACCTTAATAATAATAATTAGTAATTGAAGTGATAAGTCTTGCAGTGTTTTTTTTATGGATGATAATGGAATGGTGTTCCTGCCTGCGCTAACGGTTTACGCTGGCAGGGCACCAGTGGAGGATGATAAGATGAGCATGAGGTCAGGTCAGTCAGCCCATCGTGACAAATTCACCAGGAATTTATCACGATGGTTTCCAGGGGGAACCGCGTGGAGGTCTACCTGACATTGTACATTGCTAGTAATTGGGTGATGAGTCCACATTAATAACAATCCCCTTCCCCCAGTCTTGCAGTGTTGTGTAGTAACGGTATAGGTAATACTTATATTATCACTCTATTTTGTATTCATATGTATTTGACGGCCTCGGTGGTCTAGCGGTTTAATATACCGCTTTACTTCCAATGGTCGCGGGTTCGATTTCTCGCACGGCACAAACATTTGTATTTATGAGTAGGTATTAGTGTTTGTGTCGGTCTGGGTGTTTTCCGTGTATAATATGTATGTAAGACAAGAAAAAAATGAGTTGACATTTAATCAAACAACTAAGCTGAAAAATAATAATCTATTCGTTAAAATATAGCATTCAGGTTTAATGTACGGTGTGGATTTCATTTACATTTACAAATTCAGGAAAGGATTCCTTGAAATTATCAAAATAACAAATGGCTAAGGTACTGTAGCATGTAAACTCAGGTAAAGTCAATGAAAACAGCTAGTAAAGAATAAAGTGTTAATTAATAAACATTATTCATAGTCCGCCGACGTTATCTAAAATAAGCATTGAATAATTATTATCTTGTTATGACATCCTACGTACATTTCACATCTAAATAAGTATATTTAGGGAATGTTAGAATCACAATGTTCTAATATTTATTTACAATAATAGCATAAAAAAAACAATAATGTTACGCAATCTTTAAAAAATGCTTGCCATATTTTTTCATTATCGGTTAAATATTAGGTACAGTTCTTCGTTATAACTTACACTAAAAAGTAAAAATTTACATAAATACTCTCATTTGTCGTATAAACGAACTAAATAGAAGTAATGCTGCTACAATTTTTATTTCTTTAATTAATAATATTATGAACGCGAAAGTTTATGAGTACGGATGTATGTTACTCTTTCACGCAAAAACTACTGAACGGATATGATTGAAACTTTACAGTAACATAGCTTATACATCAGTATAAATTTCCTACGGGTGAAATCGCGGATATAGCTAGTAATAAAATAATACAGGCTGCTCGTGTTAATTTTGAACACCAAGTTTATTTTTATATAATAATATACAATTAGTTTATTAAGTTAAAGAATGTTCTACATATAGTATGTATATATATACTGATGAGTCAATTTCACATAAGTAATAAATAATGAACGAACAAGATATTGAAGCTACACAAATTGTTAATATTCTATTACCGTAGTGTATACACTTCTATTCATAATACAAACGGAATCTAATGAAGTCTGTACAGATGATTAATTGTCCGCGCCTACCGTTAATTAGTACCCGAATAATGTTGCAAGGAATATTATTCTAATATTGACAAATTTGGTTCTACCTGCCTTAATTTGTTTTAGTATTGTCATTACATATGCTATTTAACAAATCTGTCCTTTTACTACAATACCTATCATAGTTAAGTATAAAAAAAATGTTTTCTTTAACACACCTTATTAAGGATAACTCAACATATTATATGTTGTCAACATATATAACATACTAATATCTATTCAGTACTAACACTGAATAGATATTTATTAAATTTATATAAGAAGCACTAGTTTTGAAAACAAAACTCGTCAAAGTCGGTTAAAGTAGAAAAAAAATCTGATAGCGTTACAAATAAAAATGTAGTTGAATTTAGAACCATGTCCTTTTTTTAAGATAGTTGAAACATTGTTAATTATTATATCATACAATATAGATCACAAAATGACAATTCATTTCCTGAAAAATAATTACATGACATATATAACTTATATGAACACAGCTAACAATTTTAGATTACAATAAAATTCCATGTTTCACACTGTTTAGAGTGTGATTTTTCAATAGTAAGGATTTAGTCTTTAAAGTAATATTTTTAAACAAATAAAAGTTATTTTATCTATGTTAAACGAAACAATAATGATTTAGTGTTACAATTTTTTGTTTGATACCACCAATAGGCAGTGATATCTGAAACATGCATACGTAGTTGCGAATAACACTAGTTGAATATCAATATATTTTTTTAATTAATTAATAACAATATCTCAGGATAATTCACACAGTGCCGTATAGTCCCAAGCTAAGTATAGCTTGTAGGTACTAGACAACTGATATAAATACATAGATACATTTTTCTTTGTAAATATTATGTAATATGTTATCTGTGGTAAATATACAGTACATTCATATGTGTATGTACATAGAAAACATCCAGACCAATACAAATAATCATACTAATGAATACAAATGTATGTTATGTACAGTGCCAGGATTCGAATTCACAATCGTAGGACGTTTAATAATAACTCATAATATTAAATAGTTTGACACTTATAAATCTATTATATACATTTATTGTGGGATGTTGAGTCTTAAAATACAGTCTATTATATTCTTCAATAGAATGAATAAAATTGTTATTCCGTGAAACGAGAAATGAGAAATGGAGAACGTAGTAATAGTTTATTTGATATTTAGTACCAGTTACAAAGAGCGCTCAATGAGACTATACTTATATAATTCTTGGAAGATATTGAAAATGTTGTAGCTATTTTTAATCAAATTATATTTTAGATAGACAGATTTATTCCAATACTACTAGAATAATATTGCCTAAATTCAGAATAAGTGTGGATGACATAATATTTAATCACTTTATTCTGTTCGGGTACTTCATAATAATAATAATTACTTATATAATATTGTGTCTATTGATATATTATTACATATATATTCATTAAATGGCAATGGGCAGGGCTCATAGCTCGTAGGACAGATGGCCGTTGAGGCAATAATATGTGGGCTAGAGTGGCGACTACGGACCGGAAAACGCAGCAAGGTGGACTCACGATCTGTTCAAGATCGCTGGTAGGCGATGGATGCGAGCGGCGCAAGACCGATCGTCGCCGTCGTGGAGATCTTTGGGGGAGGTCTTTGTCCAGCAGTGGACGTCTTCCGGGCTGAGATGATGATGATGATGAATCATGAATTTGTTTGCTTATATACTTTTACGTACATTACTTTAAAAAAATATATATTTCATGAGCAAAATATTTTTAATAATAATATAATTAACATAGGATAATCTATGTAATAAGTTACATGTAAAAATACCGCATATCTTCCTAATATAAATAATAATGCAATATGTATTTGGTAATTGTAGTGGTAAATGAGTTAAAGGCCTATCTAAAGTTAAACGGTAAACGTAGTCTATATAAATTAACTGCACTACCGGCATCAGGTTATCATGTGACCCGTGATACCACTCATGCGTTCGCAACACACCAGAAGACTTCACTTCCAAATTTCAAACGAAAGCGAAACAGAGTATTTACTCTCTAAACTGAATATAATAAATAACTAAATATAGTAAATTTGGGAAATGGAATACAGTTAAATATCGAATTTAAACGAGTTTGATATAACTATATTAAAATACCATTAATTATTTTAAATGAACATGCAGTAATTAAAATAGAACTTCAGGCTTTAATTGATTACGGGTCTACGTAAAAGTCGTTGTTTTTCAAAATAAAATTGTATTTATTTAGGTTAATCAAAATATTCTCCATTCTGTTTCTCGGCACGTTTTCGCGTTAATGTTTTAGTTAGGCCGCTCAAGAATAAACAATGAAACAAACCGAAAGTGATAAGCCATTGTTTCGTTTGCATTGAGCTGAATAGGGAACGGGTCTTAATGGATGCTTGGCAGTTTAATGAGTACTTAGCATGTTCTAGTCTCGTTCATTAAAATGCAATTATTTTAAGTGTCCCGCGCCTAAATGGCAATAGAGAATGGTGGTAGCACGCTCAAAATATTTGGAGCTAAAACTTTTCAATAGAACAAAGGGTCAAATGGGAAATAAAATAATAGTAGGCATTTCTTTGTCCTAAAAAGGATAATGCAGATAATTCTGGCAATACTTTATTTTCACATCATTTTGGATTTAGTTTATGATGAATATCAATATATATAATAATATATATATTATCAAAATTGCACTGATTCTGAAGCAACTACAACATTGGTAAAACTGGATATATTGCTACATGTCTAGAATTATAAATGCTGCTTAATTGAATCGGATTTATTAGTGGATTTGCCTGGAATATAGCCGGTATATTATTATATTTTTTTGTACAATGAAATGCAACTTAATTGCAAATGCATCTTTATTGTAGTAATCTGTATTGTATTACATCCCATTTTTATTATGAGTGTAATAAATATGTACTATGAGAAAATATAAAGAACTTCTAATGCTACAAGAATGATAAAGAATTTTATATTAAAACCGGATATTGCATCTTGCGTATAACAATACCGTCTTTAATGATATGCTAATTACGTATTCAATTATTAGTTGGAAAAATAATAACGGAAAGAGTAGTAAATATTTATTGTATAAGCTTAATTTATTATGATACTAGGTAGGCAAATAGGTTGAGAAATAATCACTTGTTACACGTTACTGGTACTAAGTAAAGGAGTAACACCTATAGGTAAACACAGGAGGAACTCTATGTGAGGAACATTGGAGTACCCAATTTTCTACTATATAATTAAAACCTAGTGTTAATTTAATTGTTATATTTTGCTCTTATTCCTTTATATGTAATTTATGTGGTACTGCATCATACTTACTTGTCACTTATCATTAAGTATATCTCGCCTAATTTACGTAATATGTTTTTAAATTATTTAGACCTATTTGTTATTCTGATTTCATCAAAATCCGTTACAAAAGTTGTTTTTGCGTGAAAGAGTAAACATCTAACCGTATTCCCTCCATTTATGCATCTATCCATCAATACTCACAAACATTCGAGTTTAAAATATTAGTAATATATACAAATAAAGAATTATAATACTAATTACTTATACAAATTTATTCTAAAAAGAGAACGGTTTTTGGTATGAGGAAACTAAACTTCGGAGGTAATGTACTGTAGTGAGAGACTCTATCATTTCAAAAAGGGCATTATGTAATGGTACCAGCTATATATTAAAAACAAAGTTAAGACCATTACAGCAAAGCTGAAGAGGAACACTAGAACATAATAAAGTCATCTTCTGGCTTAGTATTATGGCGTTATGTTAAGGACACCACCCTAAGAGTATTTATGTGTACTGCCACTGTAAACGGAACTATAAAAAAAACTGATAATTTACCGAGTTGGACTAGGTACAAATATGATCTGCACCTCAGCCTGGTCTATTTGAGCTACTAAGTAGCTTGCTCTGTAAAATGTGTTTCGTTTAAAGCTATAACGCAGTGAAATTTCAGGAAGAGGCAGACATCTTAGTCCTTCATAATGGCAACGCAAGAGTAGTATCACGGACGTCATATGATAATGCGATATGTGAGCAGATGAGAGAAAGAACCTGTATGTCTCTAATAAAATGAAAAATATCATGTACTTCCCTCTCTTCTCGCATTCTCTTTTTATCTAAACATATTATATAATGAATCATAATCGTACATAACATGTTTATTTATTTACGTATTATTTGTCTGCTTATATTTGTATTTCTTATTTAGGGGATAACAACAAAAGATCAGCTTTACAATGAAATGCTTAGGGGTATGAGGCGTTAACTTGGGGCTTCACAATAAGTAGAGAGTAGGCTTCGGTCACACTGACTGATTTTATTGTCTTTATTATAAGCTAATAAATTGTCAGCTGTTATCTTCTACTATGGCAAGAAATATTTATGTATTTTCAATTTAATTTCAAAAAGTACACAAACTATATCGGAAAAAGTGATATTTTAAGGCAGTCATAGATTAGCTGATTCTATTGTGTTCTTAAGAAGGCAATTGTAATTGTAAACACTGGAATCTTTTAGAAAAAGGATGAGCCACCATACTCTTCCCGATTGGAATTGATAAGTCCGGTCGGTAATTCAAATAAGATATACTCGGTGTGTGTAATGTGTGATTACCCTTATTTTATGAGGATAAAGATCGTAATATGCCATATGGATAAAGTGTTCATGCAAAGTCTTCTGTATGAACATCTACCTCAATTCTTATGCTAAGCGGCTTGCTTGCATACTGTGTTCTAAGGATAAGCTACATTGAAATTGCTTAGTACACTGTTTCCGGCCCCTTGAAAGTAAGAAATGCCAATGGAAATGATAACTTGAACATGCCTTATTACCAATTATATCTGCGCTGTAAACAATTTTTCATATAATATAGTATATTAAACATGTTTTATGATTTTTCATTGTAGATTGTTGGTAGGTATTTGCCGCCAACTGTACCTTTACTAGTCTTTACGTTGACGATCATACAGACTAGACAGATATAATGAAGTATGCCTACTACAGTAGGTATACTTCATTATATCGCGGTATATATCATTAGATAATATTTATATATAAAAATCTAATAATAATAATTAAGAATATTATAAATTTGGTCTGCACGATACCTTATATTCTGAAAGCGAGATCATTTTCATTCAACATCACATTCCTAAAGCATTACAGGAGGGGTATTCGGAGAAATACTCCCCAAGTACTATGGCATGATCTTTATGCTACGGCTGACCTGATAGCTGATCGAATATAATTGTGTATTTGGAGCCACTGGAGCGAATGACACTAAATTAAAATTACGACTCAAAGGAAAAATGTTTTGTATTACTGGAAATGATCTTGTTAGGGGTTAATTTTAATGTCAATGTTATAGATAACTATTTACCCAACTAAATATGAATACAATAGAATCAACTAAATAAGATCTTTTTTTCACTGAAGGGTTCCTTATATCCATTGTAAAGTGTGAAAGTTTAACGTATAAAATAAAACAAAGTTTAACCGTTTTGTGGTGAAAACGTAATAAACAGATGCAGTACTTTCATATTTATATTATTAGATCTGATTAGTATGTTTTTAATATAGATATATAACTGATAGATATACATATATAAACTGTAGTTTCAATTTGGGGCTATATACAGGCGATCTCTTTGATCAATAATTTTAAAAAATATACTCATATAATTAAAACTTATTTTCAGTTTATGAGAACGTCATTGTTGGAATGTGGATACTTCAGGAATTTTCTATTAATGAATCTTGTCTCGAGCACTCGCAAGTCACCGTGCAATAATAAACTTATATATAAACCAAGTTCTTAATAAGAACGAGAACTACACAAGATGTCATTGGGAAATGCCATAAAATGAAGTGTTTCTGAGCGGCAAACTTAACTCGTTTGAGGCGAGGCGGGTACAAAAGTTTTCACATGACGTGTGGTCGAAATAACCTGAATGGTTTGGTCTAAATTATTCAAAGAACGTCACTCAGACCTTCATTTTGAGAGGTGGAAGGTTAAGTTTCCTGCGTTATTTTGGAATCTTGTTTTAGGGTAAATTTAAATTTACGTGTCAGTCACATACAGTCTTTTTTTCAGGTACACATAAATTAAATATACAAATGTGTTACTTGCGCCTAAAAAAATGTAGTATAAAAATAAAAAAGTGGTAGGATTTTATTACAAATTGTAATTTTTTTATTTGAAGAAAAAAAGTAACAACATTTTGTTTAAAATATTGCAGCGCAGTGTTATAGGCTTTGTATGTGTCTTTTTTTAAATAAACTTCTCGATAGCTTTATGCCCTTAGAAAAAACAAACTAATGTAAAGAGGTTAATTTGGACTATTATAGATAGGTATGAAGGTAGTACATATTTTCAGGAATTAGAATTGTTGCCTGGTATGATACTTTACACTTTATTCGTATTCTGTTTCTCATTATAGTTTTATTTAGACATATCTCTATTTTATTTCAGTATTTATACTTTTATATTTATTTTATATATAATTCCGTCTGCATTTCATTTCCCATCTTTTTGCAATATTTTTCATTGCAGCTCCACTCCTATTGGTCGTAGCGTATTGTTAGCTATATAGCTGTTATAAAGTTAGCCTTTCTCGACTACTGGACTATCCAATACAAAAATATTTTTTCATTCCAACTATTAGTTCCTAAGATTAGCGCGACCAAACAAACACTTCAACTTTATATTATTAGTATATATATAGACTTGACTATAGTACTACTTTTGCTCGCTAATTACCCACTAAGTCACTGAGTTGCGTTGGCTAGAAGAAATCTCCTCAGAGATTTACTTACTCATATTTTCCTTTATTTATATACCATTTTAAATTATAATTGCAGTAAAGTCTCCTCTGATTTGTTCTTTTATGTATACAATAGTATATTTCTTATACTTCTAAGCTTTAACACCATTGTAGGTGTACCGTACCCAGTGCCTACAGTTCCACATAACTTTATTTATATAATATATTTTAACATAATTTACGTTTAAATAAAAATATACATTATGCGGGAATAGTTTAATAAAATTTGAAAGTTTGTCCAAGTAATTACAAGATACAGTCTAATAGAAATTACGCATATATTTCAGAACACTTATCGATAATATCTTTTGATCCTGTACATGGTGGTTCATTGTTCCATTCTGTACACATCTGAAAATAAATAAATCAGTAATTATTAAAATATCCACATAGATTGAAATAACATAAATGGTAATAATATGTTAATTAGTTTTCACAACTCTAAGTCCAAGTGGTGGAAAACTAAAGAATATCTGTCTGCGCACTAACTATCATTTTTAAAAAGGTGCCAAGTTATACTTGAATATTTTAAAAATATGAACTGCACTCTTCATTAACTAAGTAAAACTAAGTTATCTGGGTTAATTTATTTACTGCTGGTTTGCACGAAGAAATATGAATGTACAAAATGGAGAAAGAATGTGTGCCGAGAATTCGAGATACCACGAGTAAACCATTAAACTAGTAAACGTGAATTATAATAAGCATAACATACAACGAAATAAATAACGCTTAAAAATATATATTACTGCAATTTTTTTTATGTTTGTTTGATATTTAGGGACTTTCGTACAAATTAAAAGCACATGCCAGTCCCGTTGTACCTTAAAACTAATAGCTTCATCACTTCATAGAGCCAATTGCCTCAGACCCCTATTCGAAGGATGGGCTAAAACTCTTTGTATGACACCAATATTTAGTATATTATTATTGCTATTAAAGTTATAATTTACATACTATTGTAATTCATTAAAATTATAAACAAATTGTTGTGTTGTTGAAAAACAAAAGCGAAAATCAAAATATAATGCATAACGACCTTATTGGAATATCATTGCTATTGTAATTCTGCGAAGGCTTTATTCATTCTTGTCAATGAGGTATAAAATATTTCTAAGATTTCTTTACACTGTACAAAGTTAATGCAAGAGATTGAGGAATAGACAGAAAGAAAAATAGTGAAGTTATTATTTGGTTGGTTTCAATTGTGATTTTTACCTTCCTAATTTGTATTTATTACTGAATGTCTTAAGATTTAATTTATATTATACAGAGAGCGATGTACTTTTATCACTACTTTGATATCAAACTTCATGTATTTATGCTTCTACTAAACCGAACCTATTCGAAATACCGAAAACTGAAACTGATGACTATTCTTTTTTGGATTGCAATTGTGAAGGTATGTTTATTTTACTGTACTTTATATAATAAAAAATCTGTACATGTTCTGCGATTATGAGCGCTAATTTCATCTCTAAATATATAGTGGCAAGCTTCACTTCAAATTTATTCTAATCCGTTCACATAAATAATTATATGGGTCTAACATACATACGTGGACTCGGTTAGTCATTATTGTAACTAAGATTGTAGATATTGTCATTATTTAATTTTAAATATAAAATACCCTACAAATACCTTAAATATGTTTAAAAATATATTTAAGAAAACATATCTTTGCGAATTCTGAATAATAACAATAACATTAACAACCCTGCACAATCCTTACAGAGCCATCTAGTCTCAAGCTTGTATGTTGTTATTGTTATGGGTACTGGAGAACTGATATAAATACTTAAATACATTTGTTTTGTAAATAGATACATAGAAGACATCCAGACCAATACAAATAATCATACTCATTGATACAAGTGTTTGAATTATGCAAATAATCGAACCCGCGATCATCGTAAAGTAATACGATGTGCTAAACCGCTGGATCATCGAGGCCGTGGAATTTTTATTTATCAGATTTCTACAAACCATTTTACAATCGATAGTATTTGTTTTCGAGTCTATATCACAGTGATTAACATTCTCAGTACTTACACTCAGTATCTGCAGCTCGAGACATTGTTTCAGCTTCATTATGTCACACATATCATCCGATCCAAATTTTGAGAAACCATTATTAATACAGTTTTGTACAATTTTAGTAACAAGTTCCGGTGATTCTTTAAAATCTCTCTCAACATTCGATTTCACGGAAGCCAAATCGACATTACCATCCAGTGACACAATTCCTCTTTTGTTTCCAATGCATATTTCTCGTGCACACTGAAATTATAAAAATGACGCTCATTTGAAAGGTCTGTAAAGATTTCTAGTAGTAAATAATCCTAGAAATATATATATAAATTCTGAAATGAATTTTACTCTATTTATACAACTGATATTGAATTCATAAACTCAGAAAGCTAAAAAAATTAAAAGGTTATTACCTGCGTTAAATGAAATCTTTACTTTATCATAAGTCAAATGTTATTTTAACATGAAGATAGTACGATAAGTTTCAAAAACTAGATCAAACGACAGATAACGTCAGTTTACCAGTATGACACGTGAAAGGACTAATAAATTAATACTTAATAATGAGGCAAAATCAGGCAAAACTTTAATAATCAAGATTTTAATTATAACTAATTTATTTAATTAAGTCCTCCATTAGATGACGCCATACTTCCTATGAATGAACTACTTTTAGTTTTAAATATATCTGTTCTTTAAAAATAAAGTTATTTAACACAATAAATATTTTTTAACAAATCATACAGCGCCACCTTATCTTAAATTAAGCTCAACTTATTGTATAAGTAGTAATACTCATTATACATCTAACATAAATAGATATTTCTTTTAATATATCCTTACATAAAATATAAAACAACCATGCCAGTACAAACAAACCTAATGATGATTAAAAATGAAAATGATTGAATGATGCGATGAACTGAACTCGTGACTGTCGGAAGTAAGATGGTGTGTTAGACTAGTGGCAACTTTATACTTCTTAACTTACAGACTCCATCATTTCAGGTAATTGGAAACATTCTTTAAGAGCCTCATCCCGATGAAGTGCTTCTGGTGATATAGGCAAGCCCATGTTGTTAGGTCCTTTGTTGCAACAACGGAAAGTACCCTGGAAAATATTAGTAAGTAACTGAAAAATTATGCATTACTGATGTAAGTTTTAAATTTATGAAAAACATTCCGTTATTTGTGATTTCATATCTTTATTGAAATAAAAGATAACCTTTACCCATCCTGATTATACCAAAATATAATGAAATAAAAATAAAATAAATACTTAGGGGTACGAATAATAATAGACGTTGATACGATTCTCAGACCTATCTGATATGCACCCAAAATTTCATTAGTCTTTTTAGAGAAGTTTGGTAACAAATACCGTGACAGGAGAATTTTATATTTTAGATACAGGTATATAATATGTAATGATAAATTTAGGATGATTTGAATCCTTATTCGAATAGGTATGCTCAATTGATCACTACAGGCATCTGATTGACAATTTGCTTTCATGCAGTATAATTTGGCCAACATTGTTAATTACACAAGGACCTATGTGAATTACAGGCATAGTCTAGGGAACCCTTTAAATATACAGTCCCATCAGAATATATGTATATTTATTTAATTGTATACATACCGTATTGTCAAAATGGTTCGACTGTTCGATAATTATTTTTATGTAATAGAGGCTTTGTTCCTCAGGGAACCATCACTCAATACCATGTTATTTAATATCCGTATTGCATTTAATCCTTATTTTATACAAATATATCTTTATTATTAATGAATATCATTGATATATATTATACCGACGGACATAAATGTTTGAATTAAAGACATTATCTTTACATATAAACAAATCGAAGAGGCGTGGATAGCTAAAAGGTATTTCGCTATTTAAATTTTTGTATATTAAGGTTTCACGTAAAACAGCTGGAATTGAAACGAAATTAGGCTAAAAACAATTGAAAACACAAGTAGACGCAAGTAATACTTGACAAGTAATAAAAAAAATAATAATTCGGAAATGAACTCGAAAAAAAAAATGTCACACACTCATTGCAATAATATCCATCTTAGTGGAGAACTTAAAATGATGTTACCTGTAATTTATATGCTTTTTAAGTAATTTGAATAGCAAACAAGCTGACATCTCACCTGATGGTAACATTCCAGAGGACTACAATGTTATATTTTTTACCCTGTAATTTTACTGCTGGAACTGATCCTATTAGCATGAACAGCAGGACAGCAGGTAATCCAATAAAATCAATGTATTTTTCAGGCATTGTCATTCCATAGGATTACCCCTGTATCCTGTATTTTTACAACAACATCTTACTCATAGTTTGTAAAGTAAACTGTTAAATGATATAAATATATTAGACAATTTTGACTAGTGGTTAATATAAGAGTACAACAAAAGTACGAAAACTACTGTAGTAGACGGGCAGATTAGCTTTCTAGACATTATTATAAAAGGCATTTATTGACTTTTGACTGTAATGTTGTCAAACAGATATTTAATATTATTGGAATAAAAAAATTACATGAAGTTACTTACAGGATTCAACGCTTGTATACATTTTGATTTATCTTCATCAGCATCGGCCTAAATTTTAAATAAAATATTATTTAATAAATATTATATTTATAGTGCCATTACGGCTGTTGGTCGGTTTTATTTAGCTATAATTTTATATTGTCCCTATAATTTATTCAAACTTTAGAATATCTAATTTAATTTACAATAATTACGAAAGGAATAAAAATCGTATTATAAATAAAAATAGAATATATTTTAAAACATTTGTTATAGTGACCAAGATTTAAGACTATTCAATTTATAAATAAATTTAGTTAGTTAATTATTATACAATGATTTTTTAAATAGTTAATTGCATTATTAAGTTGACTTTAAAATATGCTTTAAGAAATTTTAAAATATGCTTACCCATACCCCGGCGAGGGCGATTGTCACAATCAACAACGCACAATACATGATGTATGTACAGTATATCTGATAAATCTGTTCATGTTACAAGCATTTTATACCCATTGCACTTAGAATCTAAATAGATAAATGTTCAGATTGTTTGTTTGTCTATACATTTAAAGTGTTCGAATGTAATGTTGAATGAGTAATTTAAGATTTTTACTAGTGTTAATATCGTATACAGCTATGACGCGATCGTCATCCTACTGCGTCTGCACGCCGCGCAATATTGTGCATCTGTGGCGCATTACATTTGCGCGGGAAAATAAAAAGACCATAAAACACTTTTTCCGCAGACATACTAAATTACTTGTGCTCCAAATTCTTAATTGTTTTATACTATTATTTATACCTGTTTATGTCTGTTTCTAATTTCTAATTTATTGTAGATACTACCTACCTACTAACATATCTAACACTATATTTATTACTTTATTTGATACATTCAAGAATTTCGCAAGCAAAACCGCATAATGTTGTTAGTATGAATTATATCAAATATTTAAATGATCCTGTTCAATCATTAGAGAAAATTGTGCAATTTCGTCCATACATAACACCTTTGTAACGGAAGCTCAAATTATACTATATGTTGTTTGAATAAGCAACAACTGTAAGGCCACACAAACATTGTTATTTTAACAACTATAGCATACGGTAGTATTTTATTTTACAAAAAAAAAATCCTATTGTGAATTGTGACAAAATTAGTTTATACAAGAGTAATATATGAGTCAACCCTATACATTGCAAAAATAATCAACTAAATCTGTTCAAATTAAGCCAAAAAAAAACGTGTCATAATGACAATTCATTATTTCCATTATGTTCAAACTTTGATGGGTTTTGTTATTTTAGTCTAACATTGTGGAAGTAAACAGAAGTAGTAACACATTTTTTTCCGACAAATTACTATAAAATATCTGTAATAAAAAAATATGACCTAATTTTTTTTGTCAATTTAATATAAAATACCTACAATTAAAAAAATATATATATGTATATAACCTCCTTCTGTTAGTAATTATTTGAAAATCTTGCTATTAAAAAGTCAGTTATATTCGCTTCTTTGACATCTAATATTTGTATCTACAAATCTATCTGAAATTTAACGGCTGTATTATATGAATAATATAACGGGTAATTTGCATGTTAGTTGACATGTAAAATTATTTTAGAACCATATTAAATTTATACATTTTTAGATAAATTGTAACAAAGATTTATGAAATTCTACATTTTGAGCCTGCCACGGGAAGATAACGGGATGATGTCATAAAATCGAATTTCTCGAATCGAGAATATGACGTCGTTTCGTCGAATGATCTTAAAGGTGGCGATTCACTCATGTCGTTATAACTCGACTTTACTGAGAATTCGATTTAGTTGAGAACTTGATTAAGTATTATGTTTCTAACTTTAAATAATATTTCTGATTTAGAAATAACAATTCTAAATTTCTAGTTTTTTAAATTATATAATTTGAATAATCGATGATTGACAAGCGGATATACCACTGCGCCATGTACATTCTGTACCGCAATACCGTTAGTGAAGGATAATCTTGAATGGCGACATATAGGCCTAGAGGGGAAAGCACCCCACTCATTCTAACTAGATAAACCTCAAGTATGGTCATCTCAGTTAATGTGAGTAGACTATTATTATATATAACTTCAATCTACATAATACTAAGGTACAAGGCACATATGGCGGACTTAACGCCTTACGGCATTTTATAGAGAGACTGAAAAGGGCTGAAATAATGATAATAGTGATGATAATGACAAATATTTATTTATGACTAGATAGTTACTCGTGTATTCGCCTGTTTCTTATAAAGGTAAGCAAGCGTATGTCCCTCCTCGTTATAATATATCTACTTTTTTTTAAAACAGAAAAGGTAACAGACAGATATAAACAAAATTTTTATTTTCAGTCTTACTAAAAATATACATATTTTAGTTATATAGGTAGTGTATAAAAAGTGACGTTGTAAGAAAGTAACAGATCAATAAATTAAGTAGAGGAAAAGTTCGCATCAGCGCTTAGTAAAAACCAACTTGTTACTCAGCGAAGCCGAAACGGGTTGCCAGTTTATAAATTTGTAATTCTCAGTTTAAAAAATGCCACTGACAGCTGGCAAATGCAGAAGTTACTAATTTTATCCTTTTCGTTTAAGTGTCCCCTACCAGATACAAAAACTTAGGCAAAATTTATGGTGGTTGGAAGAACTCACTGAAGTTATTTTTATTTAATAATAATTTTAAAATTTACAATTGTTAAATTTACAATGCTACCATGCCTAAAAATACTTTGTCAGTTGTGCCATATCGGAATTGTTGAATTCTATTGATGTTCTATTCCGTGATATCAACAGGCCGTCTAGCCAATTTAATAATGACACGAGATTGGCTAAGGGATGTCGTTATGTGGCGTTTCTCGAGACGGAAATCTGACAAGCCGCATCAATATCGTTGACAGCACTGTTATGTGCACTTAACTTCATAGTACTATTTTACCTGAAGTAAACTTTGTTAAAATAATAACCTCGTTTGTTCGAATACCTTAGTTTCATCCATTTCAGCCACCAAGCAGCTTGCCTTGTAAACTGGTTTGGTTGAAGAGTGTGATAAATCAGTGAATTCAGGTGTAATAATGTAATATAGTGATGTCTGTAATTCTGTAAATATATACATATGTAGGTATATACAACGCATGTCACTTACCATTACATGCATCATCAACTTGCTTGCCATTAAAAAATATGCAGATAGATAGCTAGAATATTCTTTATTAGTACAATACAGTAAAGAAAATACATAACCAATATACTAAAAAACATATGTATATCTACTTAAAATAAGGTAAGCCACCTTATTGATGAAAATAATCTTTTCAAGGCAACCTTATGGAAATGGATTTAGATATCGAAAAGGAAGGTAGGTAATGAAGAAACAGAAGAAAAAAATAAACATATAATCATGAAGGAAAATAATAATAAATATAATATGAATTAAAACGTATGGATAAATATTTAATGTCTCTAACTAGGGATCTGATAAATAAAATATAAAGAGTAACATAACTTGGGATCATCCAAGTTACATTTCAATTCGATGAATTATTTAAATGTTCATTTGGAACTTGTATTAACTATTAATTTATACGCACATTTTTGTGGATGTTTAATAATGTAGGGACCCTCTAATCAATGATATTACAGGCAAAATCGTAATCAGTGGTGCGCGTTATCCTCTTACAAATTTTAAATTCATGTGTTTTGAGGCATCATGTATCATGAAATCTCATTGAACAATAACAATCTCACTGAATCTTAAATTATAAATATGAAAAAAAATCTAGCATATTATTACTATAAGAGGAACTGACTGAACGGGAAAGAAAGAAGGTATTCCTTAGTCCTCCAGAATGGCAAGTCATAAATGGTTTCGGGCGACAAATGAAGATGCCATGATGACTGCGGTACAGTTATGGTATATATATGTTTATCTGTTAATATTATTAGGTTATATATTATTCCTGTTGCAACTAATAAAAGGTAAAGTCAAATTTTCATTATTCATTATAATTCATTGTTCAATAATGAATAATCAAAGATAGAATAATGGAACCGATACATCAACGGCAATAAAAAAATTCCAGGCATGTTACTTTACAATTTAAAACGACGTATGGGAATTTAATATTAAACTTTTAGAATATTTTGTGCAATGTGCATTTCGAATGAATTTTTAACATTTTTCCATGTTATAATGTTGAAGTTTATTATTAAAGTGTACAGGAAATTTCGCAGACTGATGAGACGATCGTGATATGAATATACAGCTCGCGCAACGAAAGCTACTGCGAGCGGCTTACTGTGAAAGAAAATTTTATATCCGCAATGTTACTTAATTACAGCAAAATAGTTTGTTTAGTTTTTTTATGTATATAGTTAGGTCACTTAAGTTTACAAGTTAATGTAGGTACTGAACTTTCCGGATGTCAATTTCCAGGTTTTCTACTTTTATATGTCTATACTAATTCCACAGTTTACATTTTCTGTCTTATTATAATACATTTTTTATCTTCTAACTTTTTTACATTTTTAATCTTTTAACATTTTGCTAAACCGCTAAGGCCAAGTAGGTAAGTTTAATGATTTGTACATCCGACTGAATTTGTACACAGTTTTTATATAGCTAGATATAAAAACTGTGTACAAAGTCAGTCGGATGTATAAAGTCTAAATTGTAATGGATTTATTATGATTTCCAATTTCTGTAATTACTATACACATAATAGTTTATTTATTAATGTCTAATTAAGTCTAAATGATGTAGAAAGTGGTGTAAATTTATCAGGTTTTACTGCTCGAACTGTACAATGTAGTCACGCGCGGCCACTGGTCACGCGCTACTCGTCGGCTTTGCGCCCAGATTTCATACACGGCTCTAGTTAAACGTGCTTTTTATTTTATGCCATATTTTGCATGTACGTTCCTCATGAGCTTTCCCCCAATTTAAATTTCGCGGTGATATATATGAATAAGGAAAATATTTGTGGTTTTATCGTTATCTCTAGCATATGAATCGTTCAGGAAATCCGTCTGCTTCTGTTTATATACACATATAATCAACTTTCAAAAATAAAGAAGATTCTCAGGGAGTATTTATTTATTCAATGATGTCCGGTGCCTCTGGCGTGGACAAGCGGACATACGATTATTTGCTATAATGTTTAGACACAGAATATTAATATACTCAGTAAAAGATATTTCACATAACCGCATCCCTGTTCAAACATGTTCATCTATTTGCTCTTTATATTGGATAATGTCAATATTAATGCAAGAAGCACTTCATAAGGATACAGCACAGTTTGTATTATATTGTCAACTTAGGAATGTACCTTAAATGTAAAATGAATCTATATTTATTTTCGAATTTCGGCAGTGATTTCAGACTAAAGAAAACTTTGAAATGTACAAAAAATAGATATTATTATT